GTCAGTAATTTAATATTTTGAGCATCTGGGGATAAACTTGATTGAGGCATTGGCTGAACCTTCAACTACCTGTTTCCCCTATTTCAAACCCAAGAGAAGTGTCAAAGGTGAAAGAGTTGGAGAGAGAGAGAGAGAGAGAGAGAGAGAGAGAGAGAGAGAGAGAGAGAGAGAGAGAGAGAATAGTTACTCCAAGGTAGGAACAGCAAAATTTTGATCACGCAGCGACTTATTTGCCATCGTAACATGATAGTACCGTCATCTCCAAAGTCCTAGGTTCCCTTTCGAGTTTTCCTCTCCACAGGAAAAGACCACTGCTCTCCCATCCCCTTCACTCCTCCCCATATTTCCCGCCTTCAGCCCCCTTGCCCTCCTTTTCAGCACCTCCCTCCCCCCACCTGTGCCCCTGCCCTGTTATACTTCACAAACATCACGATTCATTTATTTTCAAACCGATATGCAAAAGGGCAAACGTGTGCTTAAAAAACAACAAAAAACAAGCTCTGTTGGCACCACATAATCTGCTGCGGAACAAGACGCTTATTTTGAAAAGTTCACGGATGCCTCAGAGATGCGCGATAAGCGACGATATAAGGTGAAGGAACAAATGGTCCCTGTGTTTGCGCTTTTGTTGAGTAAACAGACACCGACATACGAGTAAGGCGATGTCTGGAGCAACAAGACACAGAATCCGAGTTTTGTTCCCTAAGACATTTTATCTTCTTCCGTTTATGTTTTTACTTGTTTGTTATTGTGTGATATGTGAAATTTGTGTGTGCTCGCGTGTGTGTTATGTGTGTATGTATGAGCCCAAGAGAGAGAGAGTGTGCGTGCGTGTGTGTGTGTGTGTGTGTGTGTGTGTGTGTGTGTGTGTGTGTGTGTGTGTGTGTGAGAGAGAGAGAGAGAGAGAGAGAGAGAGAGAGAGATAGTAATGAATACTAAAGCCCTGAAAACTACATAAGTTTTCGGTAACCGAGTTCACAAAGGATTAACGAGGTTACAGTGTTCCTCACAATACTCTGCCATGTCAATAGTGTCTTTTCACAATTCAACCACTCCAGAAAGTCTCCCCCCTGGCTATGGGCATGCCAGATCGTATAAAAAGATTTGACCACTGACCCAAGAAAATATGCTTGAAATGGCATACAATTTTCTCCCCCATCATCACTTTTGTGGCAGACCAGCATGCATAGTAAATATCGCCCCCTCCCTTGTCAGCTATAACAACAGCAAAATAAAATTTAAGCAGCAGCAGCAGCAGCAGCGGCAGTAGCAGCACAACAGCAGCGGCAACAACAACACAATTAACTAAATTGTTAAGTTTTATGTTCCACATCTGAAAAAAATCTCATACCACATAATATTAAATATACGCTAGTACCCAGAAATTCAAGGTATTGTAACTTAGTTCACTCCTGAAAGCAGACGCGACGGTGAAAGAAGTTTCCCCTCCCCATATATTTAAATATTATTTTAAAAAGACATGTTTTACCACTGTTGTCAAGGCGACCCAAATGTGGCCCCACAGTGTGTGGAGATCCTGGAAGTGCTTACTGAGTGAAGTAAGCTCCCAATTTCTTAATTAATTAATTAATTAATTTAAAAAAAAAAAAATTTTTTTTTGGGGGGGTGAACTTTACTACTTTACTCTTACCCATGGGCAATAAGTTTTACAGTACCTACATAAGCAGGGTCGAAGCATCCCGCGCCTGCAAGACCTAAACAATGTCGATTGGGACGTAAAACACCTACAAGTACAAAGCTTTTAATTTCACGCATTGACCTGTGAAAGTAGGTCATACAAAAGGGCCGCCTGTTGTGTCCTCGGCTAGACAGAGGACAAGGACAAGGACACTGCCCACCCAGCTGGTTTAATTAAGATTCCAAACCTATCTTCAGATACACGGGAGGGGTGATAGTGGTTGAAAACGGTCGCTACATTAGATACGTTTTACGCCAGATTTAACGCATTAGAGGTTTACAGTCGCTTGAATCGCCAGACAGAACGGCGAGACATAAGCTACCATCCAAAGGCGTATTCAAAACGATTATTGGCGTCTTGCCTTCTTCCCTTTGCATCTCTCTCTCTGTCTGTCTGTCTGTCTGTCTGTCTGTCTGTCTGTCTGTCTGTCTGTCTGTCTGTCTGTCTGTCTGTCTGTCTCTCTCTCTCTCTCTCTCTCTCTCTCTCTCTCTCTCTCTCTCTCTCTGTGTGTGTGTGTCACTCTCTCTTCTCTCTCTATTTCTTTCGTCCATCTGTTTCTGCACTATTTGCCTGTCTCTTTCTCCCTACCGTACTCTTCACCTCTCTCTCTTTCTTTATCTCTCTCTCTCTCTCTCTCTCTCTCTCTCTCTCTCTCTCTCTCTCTCTCTCTCCCTCTCTCTCTCTCAAAGTCACACGCACATACACACACACACAGACAGACACACACACACACACACACACACACGCACGCGCGCACACACAGACAGACACACACACACACAAACACGCTCTCACAGCCCTACCCTTTCCCTCTCTCATCATGGAGAGCATTTGTCTGTAGTAAAAACGAAAAAAATGGAACAAAGATAGAAGAGCATTTCAGACGAAGCTAAAAGTGCAATCCTTTTATAGCTTGAAAAAATTGGTCATTTGTCAAGTGGAAGGAACTACTTTGACCAAATCCAAAGTACATTATTTTGAAATGGGACTTATGAATAAGACAAGCATAACTGCAACCAGCATACGACATCACTATTGGTACAACCATCTCTCCAAATCCTTATGTTGTATTTTTGCTATCTAAGTGAGTTGTCTTGATCTCTGACAGAGAACAAAGGAACCTACAGGTAAAAATGTGCTTGTATGAGTTTGACAGCCTTGTCAACAGTGTTATGATCTTTCAGTTGGAGGGCTGCTTTGAATCTGTCTATTAGGGCCAACAGAAACGAGAGAGACACGACGTCCCGGCAGACAGTCAAAGATACTCGAGAAAAAGCCACTTCGCCACGTCTTCTGCATACAACGACGTATCACACGCCGGAAGTCTACGGAAAACAGACGATGTAGTCTAGTGATTAGGCAACCGATTCGTTATCGTGAGATTGCGGTGTCGGGGGTTCGAGGCACCGATCGGTCAGACGTTGTATCCATGGAAAAGGCATTTTACACGGACGTTCCCATTTAGCTCGGTCCTGTCGGAGATGGATGTTATTTTCGGAGGTCCCGCCTCTTAAATAACCGTACCGCATTTAAAAGAGTATTGAACTTATATAATTCGGTATATTTTTAAAAATAATTTTGCAAAAGGAGAAAAAGAACAAAAGTACTAAAAATTTTGAATTACAGACAGCTACCGAGAACTTCCTCAACTAAAAAATAACAAGTGTTACTCAAATACTCAGAGAGCTTTTAAAAGACCAAGAATTCTAGAGTCTCATGAGTATACGGAATAAGAGTTGTTCTGGTGGTGGCTTTATATATCCCAGTTGTCATATCATGAAGACTATCGCACGTGCCAAAATATTAGAGACAGGAAGGAGATGTATAGACACGTCAAGTCATATGTCAAAAATATCTCCGAATGAACCCAAAGAACGACACCCAACATCTTCTGTAAGAGCAGCGATAGAAACGGCTTGAGTGTACAAACTTAATTGTCCTTGTAATTGTACTGCTGTGCACCTAAGCTATTTACGCCTAATTTAAATCATAAGTAAACGGGTCGTTTCAATCCTGCCTATCAAAGCCAACCCGGGCTGAGAAGAATACGACATCCAAGAAAACAAACGGAGGTACTCGATATTTTAAAAATCCCCAACCCCTTTTTTACAACTTGGAAATCGAGCTTACGTAAGGAGAACGTCGTCTGTGTGCCACGGCGAGGAGTCGTACGAAGTATCCATTGGGGATCGGTTCTCTAGTACAAACCGACCGCCAACCGATCGCTCGGACTCGTTGTCTGAAACGTTCGTTCGTTTTTTTGAGGTGACGAGTCGGTTGGGCGATCGGTTTGTGTAACGATAGCCACTTTGCGCCCTCAATCTGGCTAGCAAACCGGACCGAACCGATTGTGCCAATGGGCACTGGGACTAACCGCTACACCGCAGACAGACGCCAGAGACGATTGACGAGCGGTGCAAAAGTGGGAACCATCAGTCATGATTACGCCAGCAGGTAAAGGGTACCGCGTCTTGATAGGTTCATGAAGAAGAAAAACGGAATAATTTGAAAGGGGATAAGTGTGTTTGTTGCTGTCTGCGACTTCTCCAAAATGCTTTCTTCCAGAAAAGTACATTATTCACCGTAATGCTACGCTTGTAGACGTCATCCCACATAGTTCTCTTTTAATTATGGCGTGTGGTTGGATGAAGGCGATACTTGTAGGTTCCATAAGCTTATTTTTTGTCTTTTCATCTATTATTTCTGTCTGTCTTTCTGTCTGTCTGTCTATCGGTCTGTCTGTCTGTCTGTCTATCTGTATTGCTCTTTTCCAACTCTATGACAGCTATTGTGTTAATTCTAACGTGTTTTCTTTACTCAAACACATACCAAGTCAGAGAGCTATCTCAGTACGGTCCATAATGTTTTGTTTTCTTTAATTATTTACTGTTTGTGGACTAAATATGTTGAAAACAAACAACCAAAAGCTTTTTTTTTTACCGGAGTTGTCATGTGGCAGACAGATGCTTGTTTGTGACGACTGTGATGTTGTTGTTATTGTTATTCTTGTTGTTGTTGATGGTGGTGGTGGTGGTGATAACGGTGATGATGATGATGATGATGATGATGATGATGATGATGATGATGATGATGATGACCATTTGATATGCTTAGATTAACTTCTTTATGATTAACCATTAGACATGGCTCACACTGAGTCACATCAAGATAAGACAAATTTTCCTTGATACATCTTAAATTTAACTCCCAGATGGATCTTAAGATTCGTTCGAAGCAAAACATTGAACCATTTTTTGAAATAGTAACAGCATGAAATGATTTTTAAAAAGTATGAACTCACCCGATTTTCCGACTCCTTTTGCTCCCAGCACGGCAATGTTGATATCCCGACATCCTCCGTTAGCCACATGCTTATGCCCCTTGTCATCCGCCATGTTGGTACGACCATGACCTTTGACAAGGCCGGAAGTTGTGGTAACCCCGACTTCTCCTTACACAACAGACGTACAGATTGGGTCTGTGTGGGAAGTCGGATGTCGGGAGCGTCTCCGTGAACGTTTCTGGAGCGTCTGTGATAAGATCCCTCAGGAAATTTCAATGTCTGGAGATGTGTGTGAAACACTCACGAGATCACACGACTAATCAACACAAAGGAGTCTATTTTAAAAACCACAAAAAAAAAAGCAAAAGAGAAAACAACATAAAGTGCTCTCCTGGAACAAAGATGCTCTCTTCGGGGACAACAGAATGTCCAGTCGTGATCTTTTACGAGAAAAAAATATGTTCAATGTCCTCGGGTATAACTACGTCAAAGTTATCCAAACAGGCCTTTTATAACAGCGTATGATACCAAAATAAAATCGAAAACTAGAAGAAGTAAAGAGAAACCAATCAATATAATAAATTTAGTGGTTCACGAACTTGAAAACCGATTTCAAAACAAAAAATATTGAAACTGTTTTCTTGGGTAAGTGATGTTTGTATCTCTTCTCTTTCTTTTTCCTTACTCTCTCTCTCTCTCTCTCTCTCTCTCTCTCTCTCCCTCTTTCCCTTTTCTGCCTCTGTCTCTCCCTCTCTCTCTTCTCTCTCTCCCTGTCTCTCTGTCTCTGTCTCTTCCTCTCTCTCTCTCTCTCTCTCTCTCTCTCTCTCTCTCTCTCCCCTCTCTCTCTCTCTGTAAGCATGCATGTGTATGTGTGCGTATATGTGAGTTATGGGAGTAAAGGAGGCATGTATGATTCATCCCCCCACCCTTCCCTGCGAAACTTAAAACAGAGGTCATGCAGTGTTTTCAGAAAAGTTCATTCAAGGAGCTGTTTTCCTCATCGGTGTAGTCAGCTGACTGGATCGGCTTGATGGAAAATGAAGGCAAACATCACGCCTGTTTATTCGTTCACTGCCAGTAAGTATGGGACGAAAGATCCCATGAGGATACTAACGTTTCTTTTATCTGATCTGATCTTATCTTTTAGTGACACCCGCACCCTGAAGTCCCCCACCCCCAAAAAACCACCACCAACAACAACAAACAAGCAAAACAGCAACAAATAAACAAAAACAACAACAAAAACAAACAAACAAACAAAAACAAAAACACAACAACAACAAGAAAAGAACAACAAACCCACACGGACCCTAAAGGCTACCAATAGCATTGCTCTAAAAGCTCCATTTACCTCCACTAGGTACTACTATGAAATCATGAACATGTTAATAATTTATTCAATTATGGTACCGTTTATCTTATTTTAGAAATGACCACCAAAGACTCCCATATCTCCTTATCGTTCCCCTTTTTCCCGTCCCATTAAGATCTCACTTTACTGCCCTTCCCGGTCGATAACTCAGTCTAACAAACGTTTGGTGTTCATTAAACAGGAGCGCTCTTCCGGTTCTCGTTACCCTTCATTAGCGGTATATATTTTGTTGATAAAATCGTTAGGCTCTTCGCCTGTTCTATGCAGAAGGAAGGGGTTCGATTCCAGAGAGGGGCTATTCTATTTTTGTTTTGTTTTGCTTTTTGTTTCCATCAAGTATCGCCTTGGAAACTGCTGAACATCTTTTTGGGGGAAGGAAAAAAAAATTAAATGAGGCAGGACTGAAAAAGAGCCTACGTGGGCCGCTTGCTGATTTTCAAAAAATCCATCCGGAAAAGACAATTAATGCAGTTTTTGGAACACTTAAATAAACATAAAAGGCTTGAACATCCAGTTATCACATGCAAAATTGAAGACAAATGTAGCAGGTGTAGACCAAGAGGAACTTACTCGGATACCCTAAACAGATGGGTGGCGGGGAAAGATTAGGATAATAGCTTATTTGAGAGCATCTGAACATAGGAATGAATGGAGAATCATTATCGCCGATGCCAGTCACATATCTAACACTTTTGATGATGATCGATGTGTGCCTACCAGGATTTTGTTATCTCTACTCATCACGAGTTGGCTCTGACAGTGACAAGAAGGCTCGAATCAGCCCCTATCCTAAACGATGAAATAATGTGTGTACTGTGTTGGTGAGGGTGCATGATATTATTTGCATAAGAAAGGGAATTATCATTCATCAAATCCCATGTTACTCGAGTTTTGTCAGAATATCCTGAACACATATAAGATGTTTATCACACCATCTGTAGTTCATTTTTCAAGTTCATCGGTGCTTCAGACCGCGGCATTAGCAGTTAGCATCATTGATAGCCTCAATTTGACGAAGCTAATTCGTACATGTGAGAACCGCTGGCGTAAAAATGACGTGTGGATACGTAGGTAGTGATCGAGTGGGTTTTTGCCTTCCTTCACTTGTGTTGAGAAAATATATACACCTGCACACTCGTTTGTGTGAGTGTGTGTGTGTGTGTGTGTGTGTGTGTGTGTGTGTGTGTGTGTGCGTGAGAGTGAAAATGTATGTGTGTGTGTGTGTGTGTGTACGTGTGTGTGTGTGTGTGTGTGTGTGTGTGTGTGTGTGTGTGTGTGTGTGTGTGTGTGTGTGAGAGAGAGAGAGAGAGAGAGAGAGAGAGAGAGAGAGAGAGAGAGGGGGGGGGGGGGGGGGAAAAAAAAAAAACAGGGGGGGGGGGGGGGGTGTGTAAAAGACTACTCAAGGAACGATTAAACATTATCTGTTCTTGCTGAACAAACTACTGGAAATGGCAAGAACGAAGCACCACCCCCTGACAAAAACAGGAAGCAGGCAGTCATAAGAAACATACCGTGAAGCCATCCAAAAACCCTAACTAAAACATCTGGCCAGGACTGGAAAATAGAACAAGCTGCCTTGAGTGTTTGCATCATCATTCTTTTTTAATGTAGGTGTTTTACTCCGCTATCGACAAACTTTGGACAGTTTAGCAGACAAGCTTCGACCCTGCCTTTCACGGTCAACCCGGGCTAAAAGGGATACACAATTTCAGAAGATAGACCGATATACTTGATTAAAATTCTCCCCTCATGAGAATCGAACCCAGGCCTTCTGAGAAGGACGAGAAAGCGCCTTACCTCAACACCAAAGATGCCGGTGAACAGTCAATCGCAGATCCGAAGCGAACATTAAATCGTTTGTATTTAAAAGCTGAACGAAGATAAGGCAGCAGAGTCGTGTCTGTTAAAAAGCCTTTTTTTGCGAGTGGTTTATGATCTGTCTTTACTATCAAGTCTTAGTGATCTCTATTCAGGTCGACAGCGTCAGTTTATATTTCAGTATGTGATATTTACACGTCTCAGTATACGTGAAGACTGTAAGTGGAAAACCAGACAGTCAAATACATTGACATGTGTTGGTGATTTTGAGAAATCTCAGGTTTAATTTAAACTTATGGACTGATAAACAAATAGTTCCTAACTCTCCGGCGCTAATGGTGCACTGATCAGGCTCTTTGTCGTTGTACGTAGAAAATGCGAGTTCGATTCGCGTTTTAGGAACATAATTCCGCCTAGCGCAAGTTGGCTCATGCAGGTAAGGTCAAAACAGCCCGCCTCTTGAACGGTCAAAACTGTGCAGATGAGGGTGTAAAATATCTTCAGTTACAATTATTGTTTGTGTCCTCGATTATCTGGCTGGAACAAAATGATACATTGTGTACATCGCAATGAAATTATTTGTCAAGAGATATTTCCCGTCAAAGACAAGACATATTCCAATAATATCCTAGATAATGCTTTCTGACGTAATTCCGATTCACTTCGCAACGTGCCAGTCGACCCAATTTGGAGTCAAATGACGGGTAATGGGTAAAGGGGCTACCTGTTCTCTACAGTAAGGAGATTGGGGGGATTGGCCGTTCATTTGGGTCCACATTGTGCGCACCCTTCACAGCAGAGTCTTTTATTTGTTTATTTAAGTATGATTATTTTTTTGGGTGAGTGTTTTACGATGCTTGCAACTTCATAAGGTCCTCCGAGCGGGCACAAACGTCTTTTGAGAGAGAAAAGAGTGGAGGCCATGACAGTGCACGGTCTAGGATACTATATATAAAAAAGCAGACAGAGAGAAACAACATGGATCTATGCTCCAAGCTATACGGGTGTGGTAGGAAATGAACTAACAGACAAACTGGAGAGCAATGCTCCTGTCAATACTGACATTGAAATAGACAAAAATGATGTCGTGAAGGCCCTTGCCACCATACTTGAAGATGAGGCGATTTAGCATGACTATGCGCCAATCTTACGACTTGAAGAACCGGGTGTCTTCAGAGGAAGTGGCTTAACCAGCAACCAGTAGGAGATGGAAAGACGGGCTATTAACCAAATGAACACCGGGGAACGATCAGCAGGTGGGCTCTGAGGTGGAAATTGGAGCGGAGAGCGGAGCACGCCCGGAGTGCTAGAATGTTGTTCCCAGGATCAAGTAATCAAGTAATCAAATAAGATCTATATTTCCTGGCACAGGAAAACCTAGCTGTAGCACAACACCCAAGAAATGATGAGAGCGATTTGCCAGGTGACGTTTGCTTTCCGTAATTCAAATAAGACTTAAACATAGAATATCTGTCATTTCAACCGATTCTTTCGTGTTTTGTAAAATTCGGATGTCAAAACGAAAAATCGAAAGCCGATTCGAAAATCAAAACCACAGGGTTTTTAAATATTTATTTGTTTATTTATTTATTCATGTATTCATGTATGTATTTTTAAAAATTTATTTATTGGGTTGTGTGTGTGTGTGTGTGAGTGAGTGAGTGTGTGTGTG